GTAAAATTGTTTTTCCGAAAGATCTGTTTTAGAAACTCTTAAGAGATCCTTTTCTTTTTGGTATTTTCCTCAAAGCTTATTACTGTTATTTATAAATAAAAATTAAAAGCTATAAATAAAAAATTTCAATAAACTTAATCCTGTTATGAGATTCATAAGTTTAAATCCAAATTCCTTAGGTATTTTCCTGTTCAAACACAAAACAAACTATAAGAATAATATCTTGTTGTATTAAAACAAAATAAGGACCAAATAATTCATATGCATGGGCGTCCTTGGTTAGTTAAAAGGGACAAAGCCAGGAGGGGGCGGGACGCTGCCACAAGCAGAGAAGTGGGGAAAGTAGAGGGGAGAGCGGTTGTCGACCACAGCAGTTGACAAATTTGGAAAAATTGCAACAGCGACAGCAGCCAGATGCTGCTGCCTTGGGGCCACAAAAAAAAATATGATAAAAAAAATGGCGGGGGGTTTCGGGACTTAACAATTGAATATTTGGCACAGGATCCATAAAAAAACATGTGTATGAGTGTGTGCCTGTATGGGTGTATGAGCCGCTGTGTGTGTCAGCCATGATGTCGTTGTGTGTGAGTGTGTAATAATGTGGCAAATTGTTGGCATTGCTGATGAAGATGCCACAGCTTATGTTGTCCTTTTTTTGTGGCACAGACATTTTTGTGACTTTTGAAACATTAATTCCACAAATATTAAATTTCTAATTTGTTTATTTGTTTCTTAAAGTTTCCGTACCACTTTTCAATATTTACTATTTCAAAGATCAAGTTGGAGTGTATTTCATCTTTTGGTTTTTTCCGCGTTTGTTTATTTTTACAAAAAAAAAGTTTTGTGCGCCGCTCGTTGAATGTTTGTAAACATGAAAGTGCCCCCTACTCCTCCCACTATTTGTGCCCCCTATCAATCGCACTTTGCCACCCCCCCGGACACCACTCTTCCCTGCTCCCATCGACTTGTTTCATTTTCAATTTTTTCCCAGATCATTTTTTGTGGTCTGAAATGTGGTTTGCCGCCGTTTGATTGAGGAATTTTTGTTGAAAAAGGCCAAGCTGGATAAACAAAATATAAATAAGAATAATTGCCTTTTAGCTAGTTAGTTTTTTAGATTTTATTAATGGCTAAAAGATTTTTCTAAATATTTTTTGAAATGGGTTCTGTTAGAGGTCTTGCTTTCCCTAAAAACTTTGTTTTTGAACAGGGGTTACCCCGAAAAACCAAATCCAAAATTTTAATAATATTCACAACTCTGTTTTATAATTAATGATTATAAAACAAGTTCTACACTAAGAATAAAATTTAAAAGAAAATATTAAAAGTATAAATACATAATTCATATATTTCTTTCAGCGTTTTCTAGTCCTTTGAATGTTTTTCTAACAGCTTATATAATTGACAAGACGGCTGAATGGGCAGGGTGAATAATTGTTGCAAGGTTGAGAGCACTTGCTGACGCAAAAAGGACTCACAGGACACAGGATACAGGCCACCCCTGCCCCCCCCCTGCCTGGTGCATTTGGCCTTTTCCAGGTACAGTGAGCCTCGTCTGCGGCTGACAGTTAAATGGAGTGTCACTGTGCCGTCTAATCAGCTGCAAACGCAAAACATGAGCTGGAAAGTGGTAAGCGCTACGTGGCAAGTGGAGAGGGGGAAAGCGGTGAACGGTAACTGGGGTGGCTCCACGGGGGGGTGAGCAACGCCTAGGGGCGTGGTCGGACGGTCTGACAATCTCAGATTAGTGTCGCCATATTGCGTTACCCCAGCTACAGATTCAGAAACAGATACAGTATCTGTATCTTCTCCAGGGTCTTAGGGTCTAGGATTTCAGGTTAACTCGCCCTTTTGTCGCCGGATATCGCAGGTTTCGTAAGCCAGTTAGGACAGGTCCCTAGGCTACTAGGGGACAGGAGGAGAAACCCTTGCCAGGTGAGCCAAAACCAATCCCTCAAAGCACTTTGAAAAATCCCCAGTAAAAAAATGGAAGAATATATAAGCTCTTTGAAGAGTTTAAGAAGAGTTTTCTCTCAAAAAGGTATGCCATTTCTCTTTACATTATCTTTTTTCTTTAATTTTCTTGCAGTGTAGTTAGGAAAACTGCCCTAAGCAAAGTCTGCCTGTTGTCTAGTATCGGTTTAGTCGCCTTCATTGTGGCAGAGTGATGAGATTTCTTAACTGCGATTTGGTGTCTATTTTGGGAATGCCTACCAGAAACAGGGTGGGTTTCCGGACCCTCGGGAATACCAATATTGTCTCAACCCTGATCACTTTTAAATCATATTAGATTGTATTTAAAAACCTATCTATAAGCTGCTATAGGTATCTTGAACTATCATAAATATTTAATACATAAAGTGCGTTTATCTGCCACAAAGTTTTTGACTTGCCACGAGTTTCTTTTATTCCTTTTATTGGCTGCAAACTATGGCCAAGTTGCGCCTCCTTTTTTTCTGTCTAGCCTGTTCCTGGCCCTTCTTGGCTAATGGAATCCTGGCCTTTGGTCAATCAAAAGTCAGCTTATAATTTCAACGCTCTGCTGCTTCGGAGGATAATTGAAATTTCTTTGGACAAAGTTGATTTCTTCTTTATATTTTTTCTCTCCATTTTGCCAAGATTAGTTGGCCACATTCTTTGGCTTGCACTTATCCCCTCCCCTCTCTATATTCTCTCTCAGAGTTTTCCCGAGAATTTTCCTCTGATAATAATAAAGTTTTTCCCCCACTCGCCACTTCCCCCTTTCTTGGCCACTGTCCATTCCGCAATTCGCACTTTAATGCGCGGTTGCAACGGCAACAGCCTAGAAATGGCAACAAATGGAAATTGGGCTGCAACAGGGTGGGCAAGGTGTTTGGGGCGACTCGCATTTTAATTTCGTTAAGTACCGTTATGGCCCGAGCGGCAAGTGGCAAGGGGAATGCATTGGGAGCAAGTCCATAAATTACGCATACGCCGCGTAAGACTCCAGGGAATAGCATGTTCACCAAAAAATACATGTTAACCATAAAAATGCAACCAAAAAAAGAGCCTATTTGAAATATAGGTATAAACATAATGGTTTATTTTAAAAATAGTCAGATTCATGAGTTAAATCTTAGGTTATCTTATATTTACAATTTAGGGATCTTAGAGTTGCTAAAAGATCCTTGGTTTTTAGAGCTTTACTTCTAAATTAATTAAAGAATATTTCAACCTTTTTTCTCCCAGTGGTATTCCCAAATAGGATTCTAGATCCAAGGCAGGGCCGATTCACTGGACAATATTCACTCACCTGCGGAAAACAGGCACAGGTGGACGAGGCAGAAGCAGAAGGAGTCCAGCCAGCGAAGTTGCGTGCCGGCGGCGCTGTGGGATTTATGCCTGTAACCGTGCCCGTACCCGTACCCGTACCCGTATCCGGATCCATATCCGTAACCGTAACCGGAGCCGTGCCCATGCCCTCCGGGCCGTTTGCTCCTTACTGTTGCTCCTGGCATTTCGCTCGGTCTCGGATTCTAACGGTCTCTCTTATTCTCGGCTATTGTTATTGGATTTACATGTTCATGGGATCGGCGAGCGTTACCCTTTCGCCGCTTTCTATTGTTGTTATTGTTGTTGTAATTGTTGCTATTGCGAAAACAAAACGGCGGCAAGCACACACAGAACAAACAAAATAAGGGGAATTGCTAGTTTCTTAAATAATTCAAGCCTTTGTCGCTGCTGCACTTGTCCCATGAATATTTCAAATGCGCCCTGCAATTATCCTTCCATACACACACACTCGCACACACTGACCCCCTGGCGCACACACTCAGTCCCGTAAAAAAAAAATACACTTTAAAAAAAAATACAATTATTAGCCAATTAATGGCTCTAGGATGCCGCAAGTTGCAGATTGCAGGTTGCAGATCGCAAGTTGCAAGGGGCTGACAAAATTGCGCGCCAAAATTTCGCTCGCGACTGCGGGGGCAGCTTTGGGGGCGGGGCAGGTCTCGTGCGCCACTGTCGAGTGCCAGAAACCAACTGGATTCAATTCCGTCGGAGTCCAATTGGATAGCCTACGCCGTAAATTAACAGAGATGGTGCATGTGAATGGTTTTTAACAGAGCCTTCTAGTAAGCCCGTTGAGCTCTTTAACGATTTATCTTGATTTTATTATAAAGCTTAAAATCAATACTATTTGACTTAGCCGAAAACCTTACTTAATCATTAGTAAATTTAAATTAAATGTTTAAATTTAAAACTTGCATGTCTGTAACTAACATAACGTTTTATGTTAATTTGCATATTCTGTTTAATGTATTTCAAACCATCTGGCAGCACTATACATAACAGTGTTAATAAATGGCGCTCTGTTAACTTTTTTTAAATAGGACGTTACAATTATACTCAGGATTTCAATATAAAGAGAGGGAAAATTAAATAGAATCTTACAGGAAGAAAATTTTAAAATATTTATCTATATTAAATGATCTATTAAATAACATAACGATGTTGGTAAGGAAACGTCAGATTAAAAAGAAACCTAACAAATGTTCTATTCTAGAAAAGGAAGAATGTCGGGCCGTGGAAAGGTGGGCCGAGGTTTTCTGATTTTTGAATTCTTCTGGCCCAGCTCCAGCAGCAGCTCCATCTCCATTTCTCTAGCCAAATGTTGGCCAAATGTTCTTCTGCTCTCGAGCCGACGAGCCTAGAAAGAAGAGAATCTTTCTTTCTTCGTGTCGCGTTGTAAATGTTTTGTTCCTCGCTTAAGCGGGAAATTCGAATCCGAGTGAATATACAATGTGTGTGAAACGGCATTATGTAATATTAAACGACTTTGAGGATCCACTTTCTTTGGGTAAGTGCTGTCTATTGTTTATCGCTTTATTGGCCAAGTGGGAGTGGGCCCCCGCATTTTGAATCCAGCCAGATTCAAGATTGAAAGTAAGCCACAAATAGAATAATGAGAACATCAAGGAGCTTCAACGTTTCAAAGTTTATTTTTGAAAACCAGAGGCACTTTAGTTTATTTATTTTTCTCAAAAAACATATTCTAATTGAAAATGGAATATTTGTCATGAGAGGAAGTTCCTGTTTTGAAGTGTATGCAGCATTTTCATTCGTAAATGACAAATCTGAAACATCTCTTTACAAAATCCAGTCCGTATTCTCCAGAAAATCTCAAACAAAATTCCTTTTGCGCGCATATAACCAGAGATCCGGGATAGCCACAGAATGAATCACCAGCAGCCGAGAATGGCCGACGGCCTCCGATTCCGTCATCGTACTCGTAACCCGACCCAAGGCCAGAGTCGCCCCAGTCGCTTAATGAGCGGACTGGAGCCGGAAAGCATCGATGACAGAATGTGCTGGATCTGCCTCTCCGGGGACGAGGACCAGCCGCGCCGCGACTGGGTGCATCCCTGCCGATGTCGCGGCACCAACAAGTGGGTGCACGAGGCCTGTCTCAGTCGGTGGATCGACGAGAAGCAACTGCTAACACCAGACTTGCCGGTGACCTGCACTCAGTGCCGCACGGAGTACATAATTGTTATGCCGCCGCTGTGTCGCTTCGACTCTATTCTCGAGCGCCTGGACAAGAGCTACGAGCGCCTTTGCCCTAGTGTCTTGATGGGCATCCTGGCTGCCACTGTCTACTTTTCAGCCGTGACTTTCGGGACCCTGACCCTGCTGGAGGTCGCTGGTTATGAAACAGGTGTGCGACTGCTGCAGGAGGACCCCACCTTGCTCATGATCTTGCTACCGTCGGTGCCTACCATCCTCCTCCTAAGCAGGATGGTGCGGTGGGATGACTGCCTCGTGCGCTGGCTGCGCCGCCATCAGAGGCAGGGTGTGCCCCCAGATCAGATCGATGGGGACGGGCACCCTCTGCCGGGGGCGCCACTGGCAGACGACTATTTCGACGACCTGGAACAGGATTATCCGCCGGCGGAGGCTCTTCAGCCGGGAGCCCTCTGGTCTGACCACATTGGGCGAGCTTCGGCTAGCTTCTGCACAGCCCTTAGCCTGCCCACCTTTGCCGTGATTCTCGGCCAGATGCTCTTCTCCAACATTTACGAGGCCAACAAGGTGGTCGCTGTCTTTCTTGGTGGTATCACCTACGTGGCAGTCAAGGGCCTGGCCAGTGTCTATCTCCGTCAGACTCAATACAACAGGAAACGCCACCGCTACGTTCTCGACTACACTCCGTCGAACCTGTCACGGTTTTTTCGTCGCCCCCGCAACTTTTAAAAGGCCGACGCTATCCCTAGTGCCAAGAGCCTCCTGGTTCCCGATCCTCCCAATAAAGGCGCCAAGCAGATAATATAAATTCCTGAACCAATGCCTGAAACATTGCCTCTTAACAATTCTCTCATCTCTCGAGTAGAAAACCATATATTTGAATAAATAGAGAAAAATCAGGATAAGAATTAATGAGATTTAAAAACTATCAAAAAAAAGTTTTCAAAAGCTTTGAAGTCTTCTTTTTGTGAAGACCCTGAAGACTCATGACTCGATATTTGTTTAAGACCCCCTAGAATCCCCTTAAGAATAGAAAAAACCAATTAATTTTAAGCCTTGCACAATAATAGTTCATGTAAGTTGACCAAGTGCATTTGTACAATATTTTGAAAACGAAAAATGTTAAAACTTTCGAACACACGTTACACACGTACACATATACTTTATGCACATACTTAGTTTCATATGAACACTGTCTATATATTGTATGAATGATTCTTGAATTATCATCTGGCGGTGTATGGAATCAAGGTGCTCACAACACGATTTTCTAAAAAAGGCCACCTCGCTCCAAGGCATCATCCGTCACAGATTCGTAATGATCTATAATGGATGGAAGGATCTCGGATAGATAGATAATGTTGTATGGTATGTGTATTTTGTGTAAACTCGATCAGGATTCGGGGAATCAAGTTCGCTAAAAGGCGGCAATAAGCCGCTTGATGGCACCGAATCGTGCACCCACAAATCGAGCCCAGCCCATGAGCCGGTCGCGGGACCGCTCCAACAGAGAGGGACCCGAGGTCTCCGGCTCCACACGGCGTCCCGGCCAGGAGAGCATCATCTCGGCGGCCACCTGTTCGTCGTAGAGCAGTATGTAGCAGGGTCTTAGGCTGGCTGCATCCTGGACGAAGTATTCTAGGAAGTGCTTCTCTGGTGAGTGTGCAATGGACTCGTCCAGCTCAGTGGGCAACTGGCAGATGATCAGTGCCTGCTGGGCTTCGGTCAGGATCGAGTGTGGCCAGCAGAGGAAGGAGTCCTCATCGTTGGCCTGGGCTGATAGCGCCTTTCCCTTCTTGTTCTGGTATTTGCTTTTATCCTTAGTCTTGTGCGTGTCCTTATCCTTCTCTTTAGTGCTCGTGTTGTTAGTGTTCTCATCCTGCTGTTCGTCCTTATTGGCTTCTGAAGCGGGAGAAGGAGCAGGAGCCGGAGTGGGGCTACGGAACTGCTGGGGCGACGGATCGTAGCAGTGGACCAGGGCCGACTCCGGCTGGGCGTAGAGGCGGACGGGCTCGCCGGCCGTGCTTTCGAAGCGGCCGGTGGCCAGGAAACGGTAGACCTGGTTAAATGGCAGTCCTAGGTATGCGAAACTGGCCCTTTGCCGGGAATTGGTACGCTCGATTTCCCCCCGCTGGACCGGAGTGCCGCCGCGCTCGTAGCAGATGCTCATCACCTGGCCGGGGGGTTGGGTGGGACGGGCCAGGCCAAGGACGCGGCACAAACAGCGCAAATGGAGGCCCGAAACACGGCGCAGCGTGGGGCACGTAGGACTGGTCACGAGGAGCCAGTGCAGCAGGTGAAAGGCATCCACGTCATCCGTTTCCAAGGCGGCGTAATGCTCGTCGGCGCTAAGGATCTCCAGCATCAGCCGGCAGCTGGGCCAGTTGTCCGATATAGCGATCCGCAGTCGCTGCACATCGCACCCGGAACCGGCGGCAGCCTTGAACTGGGGAGGCACTGGAATTAGAGTGTGTTCGTAACCCTCCTCACTAGCGGCGGTTGCAAAGATCAGCAATCGTATATCGCACGCATGGGGCTGGGATCGCAGAGCGTCCCGCACCTCGCACATCTCATTCTGGAGCACGCACGCTCGGCTCGGAAGCGAGGGTGTCCGGCGGGTTGGCGACGAGGAGGCCTTCACTGCGGATAACTTTGAGCTGTGCATACCATGGCTGCGGGTGGGCAACCTGCATCGCATACGATATCAGTTAAGTGTCCAGGATGGCTCGGTAACTACTTACATTGCAGCCTTTGTGTGACCACCTGACTGGCGGCCGTCGATGACTGGAGCATTCGCTGGGGCGGATGCTAAAGGGTATGCCGGCATGGAAATAGGAACTGGAATTTGGATCGGTCGGGTAAGTGTTTGGTTCGTCGGATTGGCCACCGCCACGTCCTCTGCCACACGCGCGTCTTCCATCTGCGATCTCCGATCTCCGACTGGTTAGCAACTTGCACCTCGAATGCCAAAATATATCCGAATAAAGCACTGTGCAACTCTTTAAAATTTTGCTGGGAAATGGAATGTTAAATGTTTAAGTTAACGAAGCACCAGGCCAACGTAAAACTCAGAGCAACGTAAAACTAATGTGGATAGGATTTATAGGAGAAAATAGAAGCCTTGCCTCAAAATACTACAGCTATTTTTTGCGGAGAGAGGGCCAGGATATCCATGTCAAAACTGATCAACCTGAATAAAATATACTATGGATTTATGCAACATATATTGCTCTATTATTCCTCAATAATAAACTATTTTTTATTCAATTAATTTATTCAAGTTCCCCAACTAAAATGATATATGCTGAAACCATACATACTTCCAAAAACTTTCAAAAAAAGGTTATTTTTCAAACTTTAAGTGAGTAAAGCTTAAAAAATGAACTATAAAAGCATCATATATTTATAGTTTTAGTATTATACAAACATTAGAACTTGAGAAAATAAATATTATTAAAAAATATTTATTATTGTTTTGGTTCTAAGGAAACTAATTTAGAAAACACATGCACTTTTGTAAAATAATAACAACACCACAAAATGCTTACGCATAAAAATCGGTGGGTTGTTTATTTATTTTTAACGCTAAAATGATGTAATTTTATTTGTTTAGATTACAGTATAAAAAATTTAATTAAAAAACACTTAAAGATTACACAAAAGGCTGACAAAGTAGGAAAACATGGAAGTTACAAGACCAGAATACGGACAAGCCCCCTTTCGTAAAACTAAAATATAAACAATCCGAAAATAACGAAAATAAGTAAGCAATAGGTGTTTGAAATTATTTTAATTGCGTCAGTTGTGGAGCTGATTGTGCTGCTGCCGGTTCCGTTCTGACCCAGACCTTTGGATGAGACTCTCTTTCTAGTGAAGCCCCTGATTAGGGACAGCTTGGAGAATTTATTAAAATCAACTATTTCACTCGAAAATCGAAAATAGGGAGCAACTAGGGAGAAAGGCACAACCCAGTGACCTTGCTGTTTAGCTGCTTCAGACCTTGTACCCAGCGTCTTGGACAACGGTATTGGGATTATCTGATCCGGCCCAGACGCCACCGTGACGCATCTGAATCTCTGGAGTACGGACGAACCAGTGGCCACCTATTATCCCGGGGGGTCAAGTCAGGGGAGGGGATCGAGCAGCTACGTCAATCCGACGTTGATCGCAGTCCGACTCCAGACCCCTGTACACTCGTATACTGCGCGGATGGATGTTGATATGACATGGCCGTCGTCGCGGTCCAAAGTCCGACATTCCGCGAATCCGTTTCCCCCCAATAAGAGACAAAATTAACGTGCTTTTGATCTTTGGACATTTATTTTATTTACTACAGCTCTACGTCTACTTATTCGATTATAGATGGTAGTTACAGGGTATCTACGAAGCTACAGTCTAAACTCTACAGTCTACGGCTAGTTTAAAACTTTAAGTTTCTGGCAGCCTATATTTGATGCGGTGGCCTAAACTAGATTGTGTGACTACGGCGACAACTACGCACTATAATAGCACATGAGTGTCGCGAAAATAGTACATGTTTGTGGTTGAGTGGTGTGAGTGTGTGGTGGCTATATAGCTTAATACATAGGGGTGCCTCTCGCCAGGGTGCCAGTTCCCGCTGCTCCACCATTTTGTCAGTCCATGGTGGTTTTTGGAATGTCATTCCTCTTGCAACACTTTCTGGTTTCTGCCTGTGGCAGCTGTCTTCGGGAGACCCCAATTCCGGCAGCTTCACTTCTGGATACTGAAATAAAAGAAAGAAGTGTTAGTTGGGAATTTGACTGATAAAATCCTTTTTCTACTTTCTGGTTTCTAGAACTTTCTGTAGTGAAGGTGGGGGTGCCAAAGAAGTCAGGAACCTACCTTCAGCTCGTTTAGAAGCGCTTGTTATTGCGCAGGAACGCCTTGTGGCGCACCTCCTCCTTCAAGCAAGGATCTGACTCCTTGCCGCTTCCGCCTCGCTCGGTGCAAACAGTCTCCGTGCGCAAACCGAAGCACTGGGTCTGGACGACATTGAAGAACAGTTTGCCAATTGCATTAGCATCTTCGTCACCGGCCATCTTCAAGCACGTGCGAAACCGCAAGTCGCAGTTGCAGTGGGAAAGCGTATAGGGGCGATAGTTGAAGAGATCATAGCGATTCGACATCCCATCGATGAACATCTTGCAGTGGTCGTGCTTCCGGCAGCACTTGTCGGCCTTGGAGGCGCCGCCGAGGTCGTTGTAGGTGCCGTTGGCCAGGTTCCCGCGTCCGCACCAGCGCGTATTGGGGGCGATCAGCCAGTCGGACATTTGGCGGCGCCGCCGGATGAGGGGAACGGCATCAATATCCGTACTGCCACTGTGCCGGTTCTCTGAACCGATATCGTATGATTCGTGACGCTCCACCAGGTGCATACCATCCGTCGTGGGACAGGAGGCCAGAACGGCGAGCACCACTAGCAGCAAGTATATGCCGAGGGAAAAATTACTGTCGATTGCCAGCGACATGGTCTTTGATTTATTTTAATTATAAGGGGGGAGGAGCTTCTGTTTTGTGGGGTTTCTCGCGCCCGATTGCTCTCCACGCTGCCGGACACTGGCCTTTTATAAGCTCGCGCACTGGTGGTACCCAAAAATTGTCTAATCAGCCAGTGTGAAACAACGCAGTGGTGCTCCCCAACTTTCGGTAGGGTTGCCACGTCTGCGACGTCAGTGTTGGCTAACCTCCGTTTGTACAGCTGTTCGGAGGAGTCATAAGCAATAGAAAAAGCAATATTTTTGTCGATACATGAACTGACTAAGATAACTCGGAACTCGGAGCGGCCGGAGCATGAATCGATCAACGGGGGAGCCCAAGATAAACCAGGCCAGGCACTTGGCCCATCGCCACCACCATCCATCGGAGCAGGGTGAGCACAACCACAACAACAGGAACGAAATTATTCGCGTCGCAGGCAGCAGCAGTAGCCCCAACAGTGGGGCTGGAGCCGGAGGGTCCGGAGTCGGAGGAGGTGGCGCTTCTGCTATTCCTACTCCCCCAAAAAGCCTGGCTCTTAACCGGAATAACCACTATGCCGCCTCGGACACGTCGGGCGATCAGGAGCAGGACGAGCTGCTGGACGCCAAATACGAATGCGCCATATGCATCGACTGGCTAAAGGAGCCAATGCTGACGTCCTGTGGCCACCGCTTCTGCCACGGCTGCATCACTGACTGGCTACAGAACCACAACCAGTGCTGTCCTCTGGACAATAAACGGCTATCCGCCGACCAGGACATTTTTCCCGACAATTTTGTGCGTCGGGAGATTGAGCAGCTAAAGCACAAATGCCCCAATTCGCCGCTCGGCTGTTCGGTGGTGGCCTCGCCCATCGAGCTGCATCGCCACCTTCCCAGTTGCCCCTACCGACGCCAGCAGGAACCGGATCCGCCGGAGGAGAAGTGCCCCTTTGTCGGAATCAAGTGCGACTTTGTTGGCAGGCCTGAGACGAATCAGCTGGAGGAGCATTTGAAGGCGGACATGCCCCACCACTTGCAGCTAATGCTACAGGCCCTGCAACAAACGGCAATCGCTACCTGGCAGCCGCAGAAATCGGGCGCAAGTACCTCCGGATCGTTGGAAAACGGACAGCTGCCGCCACCCCCTCAGTACGCGAACGGAGTGGATGAGCAGATTGTGCAAACGATGTACCAGAGGATTGTGGTGCTGGAGCAAAGAACCCGGGAGCAGGAGACTCGTGTGGAGAACCTGCAGAAGCAGCTGCGCTTGGCCCGCCAACAGCAGGCGCCCGTTGATCCTCGCTACAGCAATGGCACTATAATCTGGCGCATCGAGCAGTTCGCATCGCTCGTGGCCAGATTCCGAGCAAATGCCAACAACCAGGAGTACTCACATGAGTGCTACACCTCGCCGCACGGCTACAAGTTCTGTGCCCGTCTTAATATTCAGCCTCGGAAGCCACAAGTTCTCAGCTTGCACGTCCACCTGATGCAGTCGGAGAACGACTACCATCTGGACTGGCCGTTCAAGGGGCGGATTAAGCTGTGTATGGTGCATCCCATGGATGCGTCCATGTCGCAGCACGATACCATTATGACCAAACCGGAGATACTGGCCTTTAATCAGCCGCGCGAGCCAATAAGTACGCGGGGATTCGGGTTTCTCGAGTACGCCGACATATCGAACATCATGCAGCTGGGCTTCTGCGCCGACGACCGGCTGCTCATCAAGATCGAGATAAACATTGTGTGAGGTGGCCTCCACCGTACAGAAATTTTCCAATAAACGTTGTGCGCACAGTGGGGTGAAAGGAATCCCAGGGTCTAAGGTATCATATCACATTTTAGTCATTTTGTAAGAAACAAAAGTTCGATTTAAAAAGGAATAGGTATTTTTTTTACTTCCAGAACTAGGCAAACTCATTCCATAGCTGTTCGCCGACCCTGAGATTTCTCATCGAACGAACTCGAGCTTCTACCCCAGTGAGAATCTATTACAATATGCAATGGCCAATAGCGCTGACATACATATATTTTATATAGACCTATATATAGTGTACAAGCGATTGCTAATAGTCACACATTTAGATGGCAATTTGGATACCATACCAACTAGCAACTATACCAATACTAATCGATATTATCTATTGTAGACCTAGATTTTAATAACCCAATTATTGTCTCCCCCGCCTTTTTTTTGTTTTTGTTTAGTTTTCAGGGGAAAACAGGTTATTTTTAGTAGATTTAATCGAAATCCCGCGACTTTTTCCCCTCCATCAAATTGGTCGCTTATCAGGGCATTTGAAATATCCGAAAAAAAACCCGGTGTAGAATACGTCAATTTATAGTGGAAATATTGCTGAAAATGTGGCAATTATACTGGAACCGAATGCCTCAAATTTATAATTCGGCCTCCAATAATCTTATACTTTTACATTCCCCCCCATTTCGATTGATTTCAATTATTTGTAAACTGAATACGTCCATTTGATACTTGTCAATATTTTAAGAAAATCTAGTTTCCACTAATTTGAGATTCAGATCACATGATTTGGAAAAGGATTACAGGGACTGTAGTTTCCTGATTTCGATGTGGCAACTATATTGACTGATTTGAAAGGCACAACCACTATGTTTTTCGAGCAGCATCCAGAACGTTTTTTTCTGCAAACTCCATATCTGCCAAATTAGTTTGGAATGGATTAAGGCTGTATGTATTATTTTAAAACCAAGCTTAAACTTATCTATCCATACTATATTAAGCATTAAGAATCAAGAACCATGGTCTCGCCAGGGTTGGGCCATCTCCGCCCTGGGGATCCACAATAAAGGACACTTTTTGTACCGACAATGGATAGTTTTTATTGTTCATGGCTTCAACAAGCAAGGTCCACCCTCAACTCTGCATAGTTTCGTCATAAGCCGTGGGGCGCGAAGCAAGACTGCATCCGCAAAGGCCGCCCGGCCGTGGGAGCAGCTCCCGGGCTGCCCTTTCCCCCACTGATGTAGAATTCGGAATGGAATTAATTTTGTAATTCAATACAAATTAAAATTATATTTAATTGCATAAAAAAATGCAAGTTCTGTTTTACATTTGAACGTTTTTTGTCTGTAATACATATGTACGAATCTCTTATAAATTTCTATAAATTCTTATGCAATAAAAGTGGGATGTCTGAAGCTAAAACTAGAGCTGCCATGAAACTTCTTCAGGAGTTGTGTCCACCTGCTCCTCTCCTTCATCATCATCTATGGCGAGGGTAATTGTAGTAGGCGTGGCAGGAAAGCCACTGGTAAGCGGTGTATGGCCATTCGGATGGATTACCTCCACAAGCTCCACAGAGTTAACTGGAGTCAAGAGCGGTTTCACTGTCCCCTTGATCCTGGCCGGGTCGTGACTTCGCATGTGGGCATTAAGACCGCCGGACTGAGCAAACGTCTTGCCGCACAGCTTGCAGACGTATTTACGTTGCTCCGAGTGAAGTAGCTTGTGCACGCGGAGGGCTTTTTTGCGCTGAAACGTGGAACCACAGACGTCGCAGGCAAAGGGACGCAAATTCGTGTGAGACACTGCGTGAACATTGAGGTCGTGGAAGCTATAGAACGCCTTGCCGCAGACATCGCACTTGGCTGGCCGTTCGCCAGTGTGGCGGCGCATGTGGGCAGTGAGCACACCCCGATCCCGACAAGGACGCCCGCACACCTCACAGATGCAGGGCATTCGGCCCGTGTGACAGATGCTATGCGACGACAGTTCCTTCTGCGTGTAAAACGTAGCGTCACATTCAGGGCACTTGTACGGCTTAATGCCGCTGTGCCGCTGGCGGTGGCGCATCATGTTACCGGACTGGGTGAAAGGCTTGCCGCATATGTCACAGAATATTCCTGTATGCTTCCACCGGTGGCCCCTCAGATCCCGTTCCGTGCGAAAAGTTTGGTGGCAGGCCTCCTCGTGGCATTTGTACACTTTTGCGGGACCCTTTCGCCTTCTGGGCTTTTCAGGGGTGCCTCCAGGTACGTTTTTTTCTATGGCGGATAAGCTATGCTTCTGACGGCGGTGACTCTGAAGACTGCGCTTGCTGTTGTAGGCCCTGTCGCACTGATCACACTGGAAGAGCATATCTTTGGGGGCACCGCCAACATCTTCGTCTTCAGAATCCTCTTTATCTAAATGTTCCTCTTCAGCTTCTAACCACTCTATGTCCATTTCCAATTCAAGCGGCTTTTCGGAATTATCCACCAGGGTATTCTTCATTGCCGCCACCCTTTTGGGGCGCTGTCTGCGGGAAGTTTGGTCCAGCTGCTCGTCTAGTTCCTCCTGATTTTTAAGATCACTCTCCACTTCCATGGTATCCTGAGCGATAGGATCGTACTCTATCCTTGTCGTTGCTTTTTCATCATCATCAACAGACTCAATTCTACTGAGGTGTTCCATACGAAAGTGTACAGGAAAACTCTCCAGCTCCAGGCGCTTCCCGCACAGGGAGCAGCAGACATCGTAGCTAGCTGGGCCGTTGCACAGGACTTCGCCACACCGAAAATTATGGTACACTCCGGATAAGTCCAGCGGCGGTTGCAACTTAATCATGGTGACGCAGTTCCTGGTCTGGATAATCTAGCTCTGGTGAAGTAGGTCGCCCATAGATATCGCTTTCCAAGATTACAATTCAAAACAATATTTGGGAATTCATATTGAAATCAGCTGATCCATTAGTGCTGTTTAATATCTAACAAAATTTGTTTTTAAATTTTGTAGCACCTTTAGCAACACTTAATTATCGATAAGGCGGGAGCTTTCTTATCGATAAGAGATTTTTTTTTCCATACCTAACTTTTATTCTCTTCTTTTCAGAATTTAAACGCCATAATGCTCATTTTTATATTTTTTTGGCCGATGTTTAAACTATATACCTTTCCAATAGGTCAGGGAAGTAATATTCCCCTCTCAGAAGTAATCTTCTCAATCGTAACCTGGCCAAAAAATGTTTGAACCTTTCGTAATTTTTTAATGGGTATAAAACATGAAACAAATAAGAACATGATGGTGTTTTTAGCCGAAAATGTACCTTTTTTTGCTTTGATCTTTGAAAATGTATTCCTTTTTTGAATCGGTTACGACATGGTAAAAAACTGCATGGAAAAATGTGCATAACTTTGCTAATAATTGGCAGGGATCTTGAAACCACGGAGGGATTTTTAAATTAAAACTTAAAAAAAATAGACCAATGTATTAAACAACAAAACCGAAAGTTGACAACATTACATTGTCCTTGCGACAAATTTTTCCGCCACCGTTAAAAGCTACCAAAAGCTTTCAACACTGGCGCGCACCGTTGTGTATTCATATTTTCCACCCGATTCGCGTATACAGTTTTTTCAGCTGCTGCTCATTGATTTTTCGTTAATCGTGAATCTTGACAAGGAAACAAATCCATTCAGCACAGAATCCATTCGGCTCCGCAAAGATGTCGGAGAGCGCAGTGCCAGCGAGCAACGCCAGCGGCAATGCCAGCGAGAAAATGGCCAGCCTGGTGCGGGAGGCGGAAAACCTGAAGGGAAAGCTGGAGGAGGAACGCCAAAAGTTGAACGACGTTAACTTGGCTAACATTGCGGAGCGCCTGGAACAGATTGCCTATGTAAACATTAAGCCTCGCAAGGTGCTTAAAGGACACCAGGCGAAGGTCCTGTGCACCGACTGGAGTCCCGACAAGCGCCACATTATCTCCTCCTCGCAGGACGGACGCCTGATAATCTGGGATGCGTTTACTACGAACAAGGAACACGCCGTGACCATGCCCACTACCTGGATCATGGCCTGTGCCTATGCCCCTTCAGGGAACTTCGTAGCCTGCGGCGGACTTGACAACAAGGTTACCGTGTACCCAATCACCTCAGACGAGGAAATGGCCGCCAAGAAGCGCACTGTAGGCACTCACACTAGCTACATGTCGTGCTGCATTTATCCGAACTCGGATCAGCAAATCCTCACTGGCAGCGGCGATTCCACTTGTGCCCTATGGGACGTAGAGTCTGGCCAGCTACTCCAAAGTTTCCACGGTCACTCAGGCGATGTTATGGCCATCGATCTGGCCCCAAACGAGACGGGCAACACCTTCGTCTCTGGCAGCTGCGACCGCATGGCCTTTATCTGGGACATGCGCTCTGGACATGTGGTTCAATCCTTTGAGGGGCACCAGTCAGACGTGAACAGCGTAAAGTTCCACCCTTGCGGAGATGCGATTGCTACTGGATCGGACGACAGCAGTTGTCGGCTGTACGACATGCGGGCAGATCGAGAGGTTGCCGTCTTCGCCAAGGAGAGCATTATCTTTGGAGTCAACTCGGTCGATTTTTCGGTCAGTGGACGTCTCTTGTTCGCCGGCTATAACGATTACACCGTAAACCTATGGGACACCCTTAAGTCGGAGCGCGTCTGCCTGCTGTACGGACACGAGAACAAGGTCTCCTGCGTCCAGGTCTCGCCCGACGGTACCGCCCTGTCAACCGGCAGCTGGGACTACACCATCCGGGTCTGGGCCTAAGTTAATAATATTGTTATCGCTTGTTTTTTTGTTTCAAGCCGAGCTCTAGTCATTTTTTTTTATTAATAGATAATGGAATCGTGTATTAGGTGTACGGAATCAGAACGGGGACTACCTGCAGTGTACTAGGAGGATGGGGACACTTCATCTGGTTACTCCAAATGATCACTTTCAAGAATCTAGCAAATCATTTGCCCACGATCCATGTGGGTAGTCCTCATTCTTGATCCAGGACACCGCAGTGTTATGATTATTACCAACTGCCGTACAATACGGAACCGATAAACAAAATATATCTGTGTAACTAAAGTGTAACCATTATGCGTATAGTTATAAGTTCCTGTTCGAAATAAATGTTGAGCTATACAAAGAAATAGTTTGAGGTATTTTTCCTACAACTTGGTAGGAAATATATATTTAATTCGCAATCGAAACTTGGGTAATTCCTTTTCCTTATAACCTCAATGTTATATGTATGTCTTGTCTATCCTTAAAAACTAGTTTACACAGTAAATCTCTTGTTCCTAGATGTTTTTCAGAGTAACATAATATTATTACTAAGCTTACTTAAGATTCTTTGCACAAATGTAACATATAATACTTTGTTAAATAAGGAGTGGGAAATGATAAATTTCAGAGAGAGAAGAGCATCTCCACGGAACCCGCCTCACCGCCCAACTCGACCGTATTTTGGGCTTGCAGCTTGTGGGCTCGCATGTGAGCGGAGAGACCGGCAGCCTGGGCATATGCGTTTCCACAAACTTTGCACTTGAACTTCTTAATTCCCAGATGCAGATGCTTGTGATGGTAAAGAGCCTTGGGGCGTGAGAATGCCGCTTCGCATTTGTCGCACTTAAAGGGTTTCTCTGTCGAGTGCATGGCCTGGTGCTCGTTCAACAGTGACTTGGAGGCGAAGCAACGGGAGCAGGTCTGACACGCAAAAGGCTTTTCGCCTGTATGCGTCCGGCGGTGTACTATCAGTGCCTCTCGGTATCGAGATCTATAACCGCATAGTTCGCACACGAAGTTTCGCTCATTGCTGTGGACGCGTCGATGGGAGTTGAGATTGTGTTGATTTACGAAGGCCTTGCCACAGTTTTCATAATCGCATTTAAACTGCCGGACGCCCGAATGACCCTGCATGTGACGGAGAAGGGAGCGAGTGCTCTTGAACACTTTGGCGCATATTTGACATTCGAATTCGGTGTGCTCCTTACGTTGGTGTTGCTCCAGGGCTCGGTCCACATCAAAGGTGGCTTCACAAACATCGCATTTGAAGGCCTGTGGGTGCGGATGACTCATCCGGAGATGTGTGTTCAGGTACTTCTGGGTTGTGTACTTACGATCGCAGTGCGGGCAATTGTAATCCTTTGGTTGACGTTTCTTCGTTTTCTATGGGTGTCGAAAGGGAAGCTTGAAAAATGAAACAGCACATAGTCCCAAGGATGGAAATATATGTACCTTAAAAACCGACTGCGGTAAGTCCTGCTCCTCTTCGTGTAGTTGCTCTAAAGAATAGCTGAAGATATTTTCGTCCTCAAAATTGCTAGATAAACTTTCAGAGTGCGGCGAGAGGCTTTCCATTTGATCCCAAAGCACATGGGTAGTTTCTTCATCCTCCTCCGACTTTTTTTCATCTACGGCCATTATACGCATAGGATTACCCTCTTCAAGCTCAGGTCCTTCCTCGCCACCGGACAAATACTCCTGCATCTCAGTCTTGGTAATGATTAGGTTTTCCTGCCGAGCAGCAGTGACCATTTCTGTGAGCGGTCTACCTTGGGAATCAAAGTGAACGTTCCGAATGTGCCGGGCGAAGTCCTCGAAAGCAAAGTGTTTCATTTCGCAGAGCAGGCACATGAGCTGGAAACTGTTGGCTTCTTGCTCATAGAAGATTACGCCGCATTTGGGTTGCAGCTGCTGCTGCGCGTGCAACCGGCCAAAGTCAACATTCGCCAAGCAGTGCCTTAGCATCCTGGTAAAAGATTCTATTCCCCAATAGCTCTGGCTAATTGTTTTTAGAGAAACCGAACTAAATCCAACTAGTAAACATTTCAGCCTCTAATTTAGTGCGATAACTAGTTAATCGAAAAACAGTGCTGGAAAACGACGCAAATAAATCAGATGTTTATAGCCACGATTATATATTTTACACTACGAACAAAATTCCGATACCCATTATTTAGATAGCCATAGCTTAGTAAGCAATTTAGTAATCAGCGAACCCAAAAGCGACTTTCGTCATTCAAAACATTGCTTAAATATCGTTATTTGATTTTTCGAATTTTTTCCCCTACAAAATTGTGCGTTTTCCCAATTTCCCCACTTTTGCTCCTTCCGATGGCCATAGCTCTGACCATTTGTATCCAATCAGTAAATAAAGTACCATTTAGTAATCAGCGAACGCAGAAGCGACTTTCCTCATTCAAAACATTGCCTAAATATCGTTTTTTAATCTCGGTAATTTTCCAACCGATCAGGAAGCAAAGTACCATTTCTGAATCAGGACCTTATTTTCCTTCGAACTTCATTATAGAATCCTCGTAAAATCCTGATCCACATCGTAAATGGCGAAGCTGATCCTTTTCTAAAATATGATAGAATTCCAGAATCCTTTGATGCAGATCGAAGGATTTTTATGTCCTGATTCCAAAATTATATTCCATTCTAAAATCGGTTTAAAAAAGTCCGAGATATAAGCAAACCAATATATAGAAATAAATTTCGAAGCCAAATTTCATTACCATTCGATCTTAACTTGACCAAAACCAGATTTTGTTAGCCAAATTGACGGGCCGTATTTTTCTGCATTTTATGACATCCCACAATGCGGGCTTAGATGCCAATTGGCCGAGTTATTCACAAAAAACAGTCACGGATCGAACTTGGAACTTTTCAAAAAGCTTGGGCGGGCGGAAACTTTTTTGAATTTGAATTTAAATAAAACGGATCGTATGATGGCGCGGGCGGGAAACTTATTTTTTGAATTTGAATTTGAATATAACGGATTTCCTTCAACTTACAATCCAAATATGTCCCACATAGGATCCACACAGGTCCCACATAAGTTCCACATAGGATCCACATACCACCAAAGGTACGAACCGGTTCAGCCAAGACACCAACCAGTGGATCAAAGCTCAACCCGTGACGTCACGGACTTTCGAGGCTGAAAATTTTTAAGTTTCCGGCCGCTACCAGGCGCGGAGTACCAGGCGAACAGAAACAGGTAGTAGGTGGATTCCATTTTTTGAAACAGTTTTTTGTGAATAACTCGGCCATTTGGCATCTAAGCCCGGATTGTGGGATGTCATATAATGCAGAAAAATACGGCCCATCTAACTGGCCAACAAAATCTGGTATTGGCCAAGTTAACACGGAGTGGTAAAGAAATTTGGCTTAGAAATATATTTCTATAAATGGATTTGCTTATATGTCGGGACTTTTCCAACCGATCTTAAAATGGAATATAATTTTGGAATCAGGACATGAACATCCTTCGATCTGCATCAAAGGATTTTCGAAATCCAACAACAAAATGTCGAGCGAAAATCATATTTAAGGAAAGGATCAGTATCGCCATTTCAGGATTTCATGAGGATCATTTGATGCAGTTCAAAGGACATTAAGGTCCTGATTTAGGAATGGTACTTTGCTTCCCGATCGGATGGAAAATCACCGAGATTAAAAAACGATATTTAGGCAATGTTTTGAATGGGGAAAGTCGCTTCTGGGTTTGCTGATTACTAAATGGTACTTTATATCCTGATCGGATACAAATTGGCAGAGCTATGGCCATCCGAAGGAGCAAAAGTGGGAAAATCGGGAAAACCCACAATTTTGTAAGCGTACTCCTAGGAAAAAATTCGAAAAATTAAAAAACGATATTTAGGCAATGTTTTGAATGGGGAAAGTTGCTTTTGAGTTCGCTGATTACTAAATGGTACTTTATATCCTGATCGGATACAAATTGGAAGATCTATGGCCATCCGGAGGAGCAAAAGTGGGAAAATCGAGAAAACCCACAATTTTGCGAGGGTACCCCTAGGAAAAAATTCGAAAAATTAAAAAACGATATTAAGGCAATGTTTTGAATGGGGAAAGTTGCTTTTGAGTTCGCTGATTACTAAATGGTACTTTATATCCTGATCGGATACAAATTGGCAGAGCTATGGCCATCCGAAGGAGCAAAAGTGGGAAAATCGAGAAAACCCACAATTTTGCGAGGGTACCCCTAGGAAAAAATTCGAAAAATTAAAAAACGCTGATTACTAAATGGTACTTTATATCCTGATCGGATACAAATTGGCAGAGCTATGGCCATCCGGAGGAGCAAAAGTGGGAAAATCGGGAAAACCCACAATTTTGCGAGGGTACCCCTAGGAAAAAATTCGAAAAATTAAAAAACGATATTTAGGCAATGTTTTGAATGGGGAAAGTTGCTTTTGAGTTCGCTGATTACTAAATGGTACTTTATATCCTGATCGGATACAAATTGGAAGATCTATGGCCATCCGGAGGAGCAAAAGTGGGAAAATCGGGAAAACCCACAATTTTGCGAGGGTACCCCTAGGAAAAAATTCGAAAAATTAAAAAACGATATTTAGGCAATGTTTTGAATGGGGAAAGTTGCTTTTGAGTTCGCTGATTACTAAATGGTACTTTATATCCTGATCGGATACAAATTGGCAGAGCTATGGCCATCCGAAGGAGCAAAAGTGGGAAAATCGGGAAAACCACAATTTTGCGAGGGTACCCCTAGGAAAAAATTCGAAAAATTAAAAAACGATATTTAGGCAATGTTTTGAATGGGGAAAGTTGCTTTTGAGTTCGCTGATTACTAAATGGTACTTTATATCCTGATCGGAAACAAATTGGCAGAGCTATGGCCATCCGAAGGAGCAAAAGTGGGAAAATCGAGAAAACCCACAATTTTGCGAGGGTACCCCTAGGAAAAAATTCGAAAAATTAAAAAACGATATTAAGGCAATGTTTTGAATGGGGAAAGTCGCTTCTGGGTTTGCTGATTACTAAATGGTACTTTATATCCTGATCGGATACAAATTGGCAGAGCTATGGCCATCCGAAGGAGCAAAAGTGGGAAAATCGGGAAAACCCACAATTTTGCGTGGGTACCCCTAGGAAAAAATTCGAAAAATTAAAAAACGATATTTAGGCAATGTTTTGAATGGGGAAAGTTGCTTTTGAGTTCGCTGATTACTAAATGGTACTTTATATCCTGATCGGATACAAATTGGAAGATCTATGGCCATCCGGAGGAGCAAAAGTGGGAAAATCGGGAAAACCCACAATTTTGCGAGGGTACCCCTAGGAAAAAATTCGAAAAATTAAAAAACGATATTTAGGCAATGTTTTGAATGGGGAAAGTTGCTTTTGAGTTCGCTGATTACTAAATGGTACTTTATATCCTGATCGGATACAAATTGGCAGAGCTATGGCCATCCGAAGGAGCAAAAGTGGGAAAATCGGGAAAACCCACAATTTTGCGAGGGTACCCCTAGGAAAAAATTCGAAAAATTAAAAAACGATATTTAGGCAATGTTTTGAATGGGGAAAGTCGCTTCTGGGTTTGCTGATTACTAAATGGTACTTTATATCCTGATCGGATACAAATTGGCAGAGCTATGGCCATCCGAAGGAGCAAAAGTGGGAAAATCGGGAAAACCCACAATTTTGCGTGGGTACCCCTAGGAAAAAATTCGAAAAATTAAAAAACGATATTAAGGCAATGTTTTGAATGGGGAAAGTTGCTTTTGAGTTCGCTGATTACTAAATGGTACTTTATATCCTGATCGGATACAAATTGGCAGAGCTATGGCCATCCGAAGGAGCAAAAGTGGGAAAATCGGGAAAACCCACAATTTTGTAAGCGTACTCCTAGGAAAAAATTCGAAAAATTAAAAAACGATATTTAGGCAATGTTTTGAATGGGGAAAGTTGCTTTTGAGTTCGCTGATTACTAAATGGTACTTTATATCCTGATCGGATACAAATTGGCAGAGCTATGGCCATCCGAAGGAGCAAAAGTGGGAAAATCGGGAAAACCCACAATTTTGCGAGGGTACCCCTAGGAAAAATTCGAAAAATTAAAAAACGATATTAAGGCAATGTTTTGAATGGGGAAAGTTGCTTTTGAGTTCGCTGATTACTAAATGGTACTTTATATCCTGATCGGATACAAATTGGAAGATCTATGGCCATCCGGAGGAGCAAAAGTGGGAAAATCGGGAAAACCCACAATTTTGCGAGGGTACCCCTAGGAAAAAATTCGAAAAATTAAAAAACGATATTAAGGCAATGTTTTGAATGGGGAAAGTTGCTTTTGAGTTCGCTGATTACTAAATGGTACTTTATATCCTGATCGGATACAAATTGGAAGATCTATGGCCATCCGGAGGAGCAAAAGTGGGAAAATCGGGAAAACCCACAATTTTGCGAGGGTACCCCTAGGAAAAAATTCGAAAAATTAAAAAACGATATTTAGGCAATGTTTTGAATGGGGAAAGTCGCTTCTGGGTTTGCTGATTACTAAATGTTACTTTATATCCTGATCGGATACAAATTGGCAGAGCTATGGCCATCCGGAGGAGCAAAAGTGGGAAAATCGGGAAAACCCACAATTTTGCGAGGGTACCCCTAGGAAAAAATTCGAAAAATTAAAAAACGATATTAAGGCAATGTTTTGAATGGGGAAAGTTGCTTTTGAGTTCGCTGATTACTAAATGGTACTTTATATCCTGATCGGATACAAGTTGGCAGAGCTATGGCCATCCGAAGGAGCAAAAGTGGGAAAATCGGGAAAACCCACAATTTTGCGAGGGTACCCCTAGGAAAAAATTCAAAAAAATTAAAAAACGATATTTAGGCAATGTTTTGAATGGAGAAAGTCGCTTCTGGGTTCGCTGATTACTAAATGTTACTTTATATCCTGATCGGATACAAATTGGCAGAGCTATGGCCATCCGGAGGAGCAAAAGTGGGAAAATCGGGAAAACCCACAATTTTGCGAGGGTACCCCTAGGAAAAAATTCGAAAAATTAAAA